GTCTACCACTGGATTGTTCGAGAAGTTTATTCGCTGAAGAATCGCAAGTTTGAGTCAAACTTAAAATTAGGAATTCAGAATTATCAATCAAAAAACTTTAAGGAAGTTCAAATGAGTGAAAGTTTACCTAACAAGCCACATGAAGAATTTCGAGTTTGAAAAACAATAGTGAAACGGATATCCTGTATATGCATCCAGATCGATTGCTTCAATCAGCTCCAAATTGCATTCGGAAGCTGCAGCGATCATTTCTTGCCTACAAATGAATGAATAAGAATCGATGGAAGATCCGTAGTGATGCTTTGAATTGATACTTTGAAAGAATTGACGTCGATTATTAAAGATATGAATCAGCTCATTTGAATGTCTTCTGCAACATTAAAACATTGAAAATACCTTATAATCCACTTAATTCAATGAAAAGTCACATGAAACGAAGGGATTTTCAATTATCCATGAATCGAACAGAAAAAAAGAACTGGACTAAAGTGAGAAAAATTGTTTATGACAAATGACGACGTGAACTTAGGAAAAAAATTGTTTATGCTGTATTTTCCAAAGTGGCAAGATATGTGCTGTAATGATTGAGTTGAGTTGAGTGGCTCACCTCGTGTGCAGTGATGGCATTCCACATGCATACTCAATGCCTTCGATAATTCTGCGATGTTCACTTGAATTTTTGTCAAACTTTTTCGTCTTCAAAAGATCATAGATCACCAATAGGCCATCCGACTTCAGTATCCTACTGATCTCTCTCATTACGGGCAATAAATTCACAAGATATTTCAACGAGTAAATCTGAAACAATATAAATTACCCGACGTTAATGAAAGTCATTCCTCAAAGATACTTGAAGTTGTAAAGGAAGGTATTCGATAGTTTGCTTCACTTCTAGAAGCTATTTTCCTAATCGTAAGCGAACTATCTTTCAAACACCTTCAATGATCGCCGAAGATGCTGTAATAATATTCTACCGAGAATTGGACTATTTTCTTTGAAAACATTGGGATGTCAAATTATGGAATGGGGGGGGAGGGGGGGCTGAGGAATTCTCCATTGCATTAATTGAATGAGTAAGACGATATAAATGAGGTAGGCCAAATTACGGACAAAGTCTTGACTCGAAATGAAGCATTAGAAGATTAAGAGGTGTTTCAGCTTTTTAAATTCAGATACATTCATCTTATGAGCACAAATTTCAATAGTGTAACTTACAGCATATGCACAATCAAAGGAATCGTTCACGAAAGGCATATCGTGACAGTCACCTTCGATTATATTACAATTCTTTATATTCTCACTTCGGAACACTTCATTTCCCATGTGCACTTCATTTGCTGCTATTGTCAATCCCGTTAAATTTGCACCTGTCGTAGAGAGTTCTTTCATTACCGTTCCAATGCCGCAACCGATATCGAGACATTTTTTATCTGAACATTTGTTCAGTATTCACAGTTATCAGTATTTTCAACCCACTGTTCACCATCACCTTCTAATTTTTTACTTCTAATAATACTTTTACTTCTAATTCTTTACTT